ATATATATATATATATATATATATATATATATCACACACACACACACACATACATATATAGATAGATACATATATCTATATTTATATCTGTGTATGTGTATGTATATGTATATGTATATGTGTGTATGTATATGTATATGTAGATGTATATGTGTATATGTATAGCTATATACATATCTTACAAATATATGTATATGTATATATATGTGTCTATATATATATATATATATATATAGTTAAAAGAGCAGCTCATGGCTCCTTACGCATTAATTAAAAAGAGATTACAAAGTTTGGGAGGGATAGTGGATCCCCACTAAAAGCATCTAAAAGCAAAAAAATACATCATAGCCCTAGGGGTTCCAGTCTACGCAGTACAACGCAACGCGAAATAAAATAAACGCCTAAAGAAAATAGCCTTCCAAAAAATACATGTAATAGTCCAAAATGTATACCAAAGGAATAGTATACCCAAAAAACTGCATGTACACGAAATCCCAATCCAACAGTAATGTCGAGTAGCAGAATCAAAATGAAGGCTTTTAGTTCCAGTGAGAAGGAGAAATTCGAAACCTGAAAAAAGATGAAGGATCCCTAGCAATTCCGGTGTACAATAACAAGCCTGCAAAAAAATAAAGAGTGCTCCACACAAAGTTTAAAGCCAAAAATCTATATCTTATATTCTTCACTAGATAGGTCAACCAACGATCCACAATATACTGTAGAAAGATGCATATGAGAACTCTCTCCAGGCTGGCCGAAACTCCAATACCCACCTTAGTAGCAAAATAGTGAAAAACCGGATCAATAATCCAAAAGGAGCTGAGGAAATAGAGGCAGGAAGCACTACAAAGGTATAAGAAATCTTCAATTCCCACAGGATAACCCCTTAAGCAAGTGTACCGAAAATTAGCAATCTCAGGGATCAATAAATGCCAAAAGCTGCACACCAAGGAACAGGGAATAATACTGAAATGTGCAGCAAAAGTTCTCCTCAAAACCAACATATAATCCATCTAAAGTCCAACATTAATATAAACGGTTATAATCATAATCACCCAATTATTTCTTTTTAAATTTAAAAACACCAAACAGGAAAAACATACAAAAACCTATCCAAAACCGAATGGGGCAACATGAGAACCAAAATATCCAACCGGAACAAAAATTTAATGCATAGAAAATAAAAAAAAGGAAGTGGATAATGAGGCCAGACCCCCAAATTAACCCTTACCATGTCGAACAAAAGGGGCATCCAACGAATCACCAATAAGTAAAAACTTAAGCGGATGGGGTGGGATAGTACCGACGAGAACATTCTGTGCCGAGGCACCAAGATTAGCAACCCAATTCGCCGCCCTATTACCTTCCCGATGAATGAACCTCCAAGCTACAGAAATGGTAGAAGAAGAGCGCTTAATACGATTAATATAGTAAGCAATATCCCAACACACCGACTTACCAAGATATAACATGTCATAAATGAGCTTGGAGTCAGTCTCGATCTCCAAATTATGCCAATTTAAAGACACAGCTATAGAAACAACCATAACAATCGCATGAGCTTCAGCCTCTAAAGGCGAGGCAGTAGAAGGAGAAGAGAAATACAGGATGCAGTTACCCTTATCATTCCTCGCAACACCACCA